CTGTCCCCTTCCTCTGCTCTATCAACAATGATCTGCACATTCATTTCCTTGAAGCGTCCATGCAATTTTCTTTAGAAGTCATTAATCATTGCCACTTCCACTACCCTGTAGGCATCATACAGGACCTTATTCCAGATACTGTGTAGGGCAGGGTGGACTGGCTATCGAATGGGCTGTTCAACTGCTGTAGCACCACATTTGAGCCAATCTGACTTAATCCATGATTGTTCCTTGATTGGGTATGGCAGCTTTTCCTCAACCCTCCAGAACTCAGAGATACTGTGGCCAACATATACCCCAGCAACAAATCAGGGAGATGTTCAAACTCCCTTCAAATAACTCAGGTGATAAGGGCAACCTAAAAACAACTGGGTGAAATAAATAGTGGCTCTTACTGTCTTTCATTCTTATCTTGAACTTAACTTCATCACTGACAAATGTTGGAAAGATGAAATCACATATTGCGAATGAGAGATCAGCCAGCATTTGGATGTTAGTTGGTTTCAAGTTTCTATGGAAGGAATATATTCAATAAATGTAAACGACATTGTAAATTTGTTTGTTATTCTTCTTATAAGTCACACACATGATTTCTTTTTCCCTTTGTCTGCATATGAATCTAAAGAGAAAGCTATCAAATGGTGGAGTGGAGAATCCAGTCTATCCTACCACATTCCTACAGTCCAAGTGATAAAAAGAAAGATTTGCAAATATGTAGCATGGTTTTCAACTTCAGGACATTCAAAGCACTTTATAGCCAACAAAGTACTTTTTCACAATTGCAATATAAGAAACACATCAAATCAATTTGCACACAGCAGGATCCCACAAATAGCAATATGATAATTACCAAAAAGTGATGCTAGATGAGGGATAACTATTAATTCCAGGACATTCGAAAGAACGTATCCCACCCATCTTTGTAACAACATCCATAGATACAGGTTTCAGTTTAATGTCTCAACTGAAAGATTCATCCAGCACAATGTCCCAAACTAGATTTGAGTAAAAATTGGTGGGAACAATGGGAAAACTCTCAAACATGACTGGCACAGAATGGATCGGACTTTGGTGTCAATATAATAGTCAGGTTAACAGCACTCATTATTGCTAATGCACAAATCAGACTGCATTATCTGATAAATGCACATGATACACAAATCTGAAAGTTTCAATTTGCCATGCCCTGCACTTCCAAAGCTATGTGATGATGCTTGCTGTTTAAATACATACAGAACATGAATTTGTTGTTCTGAATTCATAGATGTGCACCAAACCTGCCTGAAAAGATTAAGGAGAGATGGATGGAAGAAGGCTTCTGTTTTTTTAAATCCATTTTTGTGGGATGTGGGCATCACTGGTTGGCCAGCATTTATTGCCCATCCCTAGTTGCCCTTGAGGTGGTGGTGGGCTGCCTTCTTGAACTATTGCAGTCCACCAAAATAATCTGTGTTTGTGATGTTAATTGAGAGATAAATATTGACCAGAACACTAAGGAGAACTCTTCTTCTTTTCTTTGAAACATTGCCAAGGGATGTTTTGCATCTGCCCGAGCAGGTTGTCAGAGGTTTTTAAAAACAACTTTTTTCACTATTTTTAAACTTCCTCCTTCCATCCTTTAAAATCTCTTTACTTGCACCTTTCTTTCTATCTCATTTCTTTTTACTTTCTGCATTGGATTTAACAATGAATTAGATATTCTAACATCCTGGTCAGGTCCCTAAACTATGTTGCTATATGAGCAAATTCATTTCTAATGATAGGCATCGCTCATTCACTGCTCACAACATAACCATTACATTGATATTAAGGAAACCACAAGACTCAAAATGTTAACTTTGCTTTCTCTACACAGATGCTCCTGACCTGCTGAGTTTTCCCAGCAATTTCTGTTTATGTTTCTGATGTTGAAATTAAGCATCTTCAGAAATTTAGTCTGATCTTCTTAATCCCTTTGCTAAATCTGTTCTGGGAGTGATTATTCACAACATTACTCTTTACCTAATCCCCTGCTGCATATACCCTCACAGTGCGTTATCGTGACTGAGTAGAGGTAGCTTTACTCTGTATCTAACGCTAGCACCCAAGTTCAGTTGATTCTGTCCTGTGGTGACAATGTGAAAAATCATGTCATTTGCCAGCACCAGCAGCCTTCAAGTTAATGAATGTGAAACATGCCAACAACTACTAACCTGTGAACAATATGTTTGGACTGCAAGTAGATAAGACCGTCCACCATCTGTCCCAGAAAATTCTTGATCACCTAAGGTAACAAAGGCACTTTGTATAAACAGAGCTGAACAGAACAGTTTGGGAGGAAGAAATCACTTTGATACTACTGATGGCTTGACAAGTAAATTTCCTGCTCTACTTGGCCAGATCAGGGAGGGGATGGGCAGACATGCTGTTCAGCTTGTACTCAGTGGCCAATCCAATTTGAGGTGATTGTGGACTGGGACTCTATGATTGATGCAAATTCATCTGGGGTAATGGAGCACTGTCTGATGCTTCCAGTACTAATCGCCACTGAGCAGCCTCCAGGGTCAAGTGAAGAGAGATCATGTTTACTTATAACGCCTTCCCTGGCTCAATATCCCACAAACACCTTTTGTCTGGGTTCACACATGTGCAGTAGCCACTTATGAGAGGTATGAAGTTACTGACATCTGTAAATGTTCTCCATGTTCAATGATGTGATGGCTATTCATATCTGAAGGTCTTCACTAATGACGACAGGGATGTTTCCTTGCAGGCATCAGTGGTTTATGAATAGATAACGAACTCCTGGCCAACTGTTTCCCCCACTTTCCATTCTCACCACCTTTGAAACCTTCTCAAAATCTTTACAACTAATCTGTTTGCAGCTTCTGTTACTCTCATGTCCTCCCCCAGTTCCATGAAGTGCCATGGCATAACCTTCCACGTTAAATGCCTCACATAAAGCTCACTGGTTTGACATCAGCTGAGTATTGTGTACAATTCTTCCCACTGCATCTTAAAAGAGATGACATGGCCTTGGAGAGGATGCGGGGCAATTTACTAGGATGACCATAGCCAGTCATTTTAACACAGTATCCTGCTCACATGCCCATTTGTCTGTAATCAGCATGCTGCAATGCTCCAGCAAATCACAACGCAAACATGGAGGAACAACATCTCATCTTCAGACTAAGCATTTTATAACCTTCTGGACTTAATATTGACATTAACAACTTCAGATTGTTAACTCACTCCATTTCTTCCTTTCCCTTTAGCTGTACTTGAATTCTCTGTCATTATGTCCTCCCCCACCCCCGACCACCCCCACTGCCAATTCCAGTGGGACCATCTGTCACCAGACCCAAAATGTTAACTCTGATTTTTCTTCATAGATGGTGCCAAACCTGCTGAGCTTTTCCAGCAACTTCTGTTTTTGTTCTTTCCAGTTTGGCAGTGGGATACACCATTGTTCTGCTATTCTCACATTCTGATCACTTAATCTGCACTATCAGCACCCTTTCTCTCCCAGCACTCCACTCCCACACTATTGCATAAATGCTGCCCCCTCCACATTTCACATCAGCTCTGATGAAGAGTCATCTCAACGCGAAATATTAGCTTCCTCTCTCTTCACAGATGTTGCCTGACCCACTGTGATTTCCAGCACTTTTTTTTGCTTTCAGGTTGGAAAAGCTATCATTTTCCTTAGACTTCAGAAAGTTAATTTAATAGAAATCTTCAAAATTATGAAAGGTTTTGATGGAGTAAAACAAGGACAAACTGCGTCCAGCATCAAAAAGGGTGGTACTTAGAGGGACAGAGATTTTTTTAAAATGGCAAAAGAACGAGAAAGTGAGAAAAGGAGAATTTTTTATGCAGAGTTTTGATCTGGAATATACTGCCTGAAAGGGCAGTGGAAGCCGATTCAAGTGAGAAATTAAAAATGCAGGATGATGGTTGAAAAATCAGGATCAGTGTGGTTAACTGAACAGCTCTTTCAAGGGATCACACAGTAATGAATGACTTAATGATCTCCTGTGCTGTAAGATTCTATGATAAATACAAATTGCATTATTGAATATGTTTGGCACATTCTCAGTGAGCTACCAGGGAGTACTAAGAAACCTGCTGCAAAAGTAACAATATCTTAATTTGTGACAAACACGAAATTAGGGGGCACGGTTAATGCCAAGGAAAACGGGTAGACATAATAAACCTGCAGTTGATTTCTGAAAGATGATGGGAATGCAACCTCATAACTTCTGAGAGGTCAGGTGAGATGACTTCCGGCACTCTCTGACGGCTGAACAAACTGATCTTGGAAATGTCAAAGTCTGCTAAAAATAGGGTCTATGAAGTTGGTTCCTCAGTGGTTTGGGACAATTTCTGCTCATGCCATGTCTGCAGGGCTGGCACCTGTTTTAGAACTTCTGAAACTACATGCCACTGTAATGATGAACTCCTGCATATGGCTCATGTTGCCAATGTCAACTACAGTTTCCTGCATGTCATGATAAACAACCAGAATTAACAGATAAGCACGTAATTGACAAATAATGTTCAATAAATAAGTGCAAGGCGGTATATTTTGATGGAAAGAATAAGGAGGCAATGTACTCCTTGGAAAATATGAGCCTAAACTGGAGAAATACACAAACTACTAAAAATAGTGATGTAGATTAATTAAAGCCATAAAAATTTAAACAAGCATGAATAGAATGGAACTGAGAAGTAGACACGTTATATTAAATTGGTATAGAACCTTGAAAGAAAAGAATATTGTGGATTCTGGAGATCTGAAATAAAACAAAATGCTGGAGAAACTGAGCAACTCTGGTAGCATTTATGAGGAGACTCCATTTCAAAGAAGCATCCACAAATGTGCCAGCACTTTGTTTTCTTTCTTTTATGTTAAAACTAATTTTTGAATCAATCTTTTTGGAGATGTTATTACACACCTCTGCAGCAGATGGGACATGAACCCGGTCGTCTCAGTTCCAGGGTAGGGACACTACCTCTGTACCACAAGTGCGCTTTGTTTTCTTATACGTAGAAGCTTGGATAGACCATATGTGGAACACAGTCAGAGTCACACAGCAAAGAAACAGACCTTTGGTCCAACTTGTCCATGCTGATCAGGTTTCCTAAACTGAACTAGTCCCATTTGCCTATGTTTGGCCCACATCCCTCTAAACCCCCTATTCATGTACCCATCCAAATACCTTTTAAATGTTGGAGTTGTACCCGCCTCTACCACTTTCTCTGGCAGCTCATTCCATACATGGACTACCCTGTGTGTGAAAAGTTGCCCCTCAGGTCCCTTTTAAATCTGTGCCCTCTAGTTTTGGACTCCCCCATCCTGGTAAAAGGCCTTAGCTATTCACCTTATTTATGCCCCTCATGATTTTATAAACCTCTAGCCTCTTATGCTCCAGGGAAAAAAGCCCAAACCTATCCAGCCTCTCCCTATAACTCAAATCCTCCAGTCCCAGCAACATCCTTGTATATGTTTTTGTCCATCATTTCCAGATTAACAACATTCTTCCAGATCTGGTCTCAAAACTACGAAAGAGACATTGAGTTGTCAGTGAAGATCAAAAATAGTTTTACAACTGAAAAGTTAAAACTATCAGCAAAGTTTGAACAGGCTGGGATTCTTTGCTTTGAAAAGGAGGTAGATGAGGGATGACCTGTCAGAAGTCTTGAAAATGATGAAGGGGTTTGATAGGGTAGAACTAAAGTAGATGTTTCCATTTGAGGGAGATGAACAGAACTAGGAACCTTCAATTTAGAATAGTCATGAATTAATTTGATAGGAATTCAGAACAGACTTCAGAAGACTGGTAAGAATGTGAAACTTGCTCCCATGGGGAATGGTTGAGCTGAATTATATCATTACATTTAAGGAGAAACCAGATAAACACATGAGGGAGAAAGGAATGGAAGATATGGGGATATTTGACATGAAGGAGACAAGAGGACACTCAAGTGGATCATTAACATCAACATCAACATAGATTAGATGAGCTGAATGGCCTTTTCTGTGGTGTAAATTTGATGTCATTCTGTATTAACACTCAAAATAAACAGAACAGAGAGAAAAGAGCAGACAGACTGGTTGCAAAATTTACCATGGGCAGGTAATGGGTGACAGCACAAAAACAGAAATTCTTCATCAAAACTCAAGTCACGGGACTCAAAACGTTAACTCTACTTCCTTCCCACAGATGCTGCTAGACCTGCTGAGTTTCCCCAGTTTTTATTTCAGATCTCCGGCATCCACAGTTCTTTGTTTTATTATAATGATTAATAGCAAATCTGCAGCCTGCATTACACCCTGGCTATACCAGGATGTTGATGATAACAGACGTTATCATCCATTGCTACATGATCAAGAAAATTTTGATTCTATATGGTTCTCAGCCAGCTGAAAGTTAGCAGTCAGCCATTACTCTGCCTCTTGGTAGTTAAGAGAAATAAGAAGCTGGTTGAAAGGCTTTCCTCTTCCATCTTACCATCTCCCTGATTTTTTCCTTCATCTGTCTCTTGATCTGGATGACTGAAGCCAGATCTCCCACAGGAGAATAGTCCATGACCATACAAACTGCGATAGCTGACACCTGTATAGCAAACAGCACAATACAAGATGAAGGATAAAGAACTGGTGTTCATCCCAGCTACCTTGAAAGTATGGGAAAAGCTTGCATTTATCTAGTGCCAGAGATAGAAGAACTACCGATGCTGGAGTCAAAGATAACACAGTGTGGAGCTGGAGGAGCACAGCAGGAAAGGCAGCATCAGAGGAGAAGGAAGGTTGACATTTCAGGTCGAGAAAGGTCTATCGAGTGCCTCTCACTTCTCAGGACTATATAAGCACTATACAAATAATGAAGTATTTGTTGCTTGAGGAGTCACTGTTACAATGTTTAGAAACAGACAATCATGTTTTATATACCAAGATCTCAAAAACAGAAATAAGATGAATGAACAAATTGTCCACTTATTTTGATGTTAGTTGAGAAATAAACACAAAGGAGAACATCTCTGCTTTTCGGCAAAATAGGTCTGTTGGATCTTTCATATCGAGTTGGGGGCGGGGGGGAGAAGGAAGCTCAGTTTAATATTTCATTTGAAAGATACCACTCCAATGGTGCAATGATCACTCAGAACTGCCTTAGCACTGACCCTCCAACACTACAGTGCTGCCTCAGTACTGCTTCTCTGACTGTGCAGCAATCCCTTGGTTATGCCTCTCCATTAGTGAAACATTCCTCAGTACTAGCCCTCTGACAGTGCAGCACTCCCTCTGACAGTGCAGCACTCCCTCTGTACTGGCCCTCTGACGGTACAACACTTAGTTAATACTGCTTCTCCAACTGTGCAGCAATCCCTCAGTACTGCTTTTCCAACAGTATAGTGCTCCATCAGTATTGATTCTCAGACAGTACAACATCCTGTTACTACTGGCCCTCTGACAGAACAGCACTCATCACTATTGCCATCTAATTTGTGGGAAGTCAGAGGCAACAATACAATGCGTGGAGGTAAGCTGCTGTTATTACTGTAATGCCTGCCAGAAACTTTAGGGGTATTCAGCATCAGCCTGGATGCTGGGATCAGGTTTCTGGATTGGGTTGAACACACAAATTCCTGCATCCAGAATAAACCAATGTCATCAGCTAGCACTGGGAGCGATGACTGAACATTATTTAATGTAAACTTGGGATACATGTTGCAGTGTTTGGATGAACTGTAGTTTACTTACAGTGGAGGGTGGGATGCCGACCAGGAGAATTCTGGAATAGTCAAATCTAAAAATGACAAAGGCAGGGTGAGCACTTCAGAAGCAGATGAGCCCATTAACAGCCATGTTAACACAGGCAGGGCTGAAATCACTCTACTCAGCAGGATCTGGGGTTTGAAACTGCTGACTTTGCAAACTGTATTCAGCACATCACCATACAGGAGCTGACCCCACTAACTGATTAGAGAGGTGAACAGAATATGATTACAGACACAGAACTGTCAAGCAATTGCACCTCATACCTCATGATCCCAAGCAACAAATATCTCCTCATAATGGCAGATATTGGGATGATCCAGTTTTAACAGGATCATTGCCTACGAAAAGAAAAGGTAACAAATTAACATAGGGTTACACATCATTGACATAAAACCAACAAGGTACACAAACGTTATGCTAAAAATGGCTTCCTTTGAGACATACACCTTTGTCACTGCTCATCTCTCCAACTGAGGAATGAGTGCAGGAATGGAATAAAGCAGAATCATCACATGCAAAATCACCCTACACCCCAGAGTAAAGTTTCCTCCAGTCATTTAAATTGCAAGTAAAGTCCTCAACAATGTCCTAATCAGACACTTCCAGAACAGGAACAAAAACAGAAGTTGCTGGAAAAACTCAGCAGGTCTGGCAGCATCTGTGAAGAAAAAAATCAGGGTTAACGTTTCGGGTCCAGTGACCCTTCCTCAGTTCTGAAGGGTCACTGTACCTGAAACGTTAACTGATTTTTTTCTTCACCGATGCTGCCAGACCTGCTGAGCTTTTCTAGTAACTTGTGCTTTACTTCCAGAGCAGACACAGCATAGGGTTAGATAAATGGAAAAGCCGTGTCTTCACTGCTCCCATCAACACTCCCAGGACAGGTACAACATGGGGTCGGACACAAAAGAAAGCTTTCTCTACATTGTTCCCATCAAACACTCCCAGGACAGGGAAGGCACAGGTTTGGATATAGATTAAAGCTCTGTACTGATTGGAACGAGGGCCAGGTAGGACTCGTTGAGTATGTGATCCATGATTGGGCTGTTAACCTGGGCCAATCAGGGAGCCCTGGCTGACAGATATAAACAGCAATGTCAGGGGCTCTGCTCACTTTAGCTGGGTGAGTATCATATACTATGCACATGGAAATAAAGGGTGACAGGATACCAGCCTCTGGGCTATTATTTCAGTTGCGACGAGAGAAAACAGTATGCTCCTGAAGAAAATTTGCTTGCAACAGCAATCTTTGAGTTGGGATAAGCAATTCTGGAATCATGCCTTTATTTGGGAAGCTTAGCTGGTTTGATCCTGCTGTTGAAGACTGCCCAGTATGTGGAATGAATGCATTTTTTTTTCTGGGCAAATGAAAAGCAATGAGGAATCCTTCTGACTGCTTGTGGATCTGCAGCATTTTTGGTTATCAGGAGCCTGACTTTCCTAGAGGCACCACAGACTAAAATGTTTCAAGATTTGACAGATTTAGCTATGAAATATGACCCAAAGCTTCCCCTAATTCTGAGATGCTACTGGTTTTATGTGGCAGTTTGAGAACTAGGGAATCATATTGGGAATTTTTGACTGGCAGAGGCATATGATTTTGGGTTAACCCTGAATGAGATGCTGAGAAACTGTTTGTTTGGTATGTGGGATTAAAGATGTAACCATGCAAAAGATTCTACCAGCGTAAGCCCAAATGGACTTTGAACAGACACTACAACTGGCTCTGTAGAAAATGTGGGGAGCATGTGAGCTATATGATATCCCAATGGAAGTGAACACCCTCAGTGTACAGGATGGCATATTATGAGGAAAATTAACAAGTCATCAAGGGTACGTGAGGGGTTTTTGAAAATCAGTGTGACTGAAAACTGCCTCTGGAAGACTAAAACTTTGGCTGTCACCGAAATCTTTAAGCTTTCTGATTAAGTACCTTCTAGAAGGTACAATGATACCATGATTCAACAAAAAAAATTCCTGACTGAAGAATAGTGGAAAAGACACAGAACATTCTGAAAAATGCATTCTGACTGTAGTTTTGAGTCAAGTTTTAATTAATTTTTCTTATTACTTTGGTTTATATAAGTGGTACTTGTATTAATTGGAACAGCATGACATTAGAATTTTGTACTGTTTGGGAATAGTCAGTAGTTAAGGGGAGTTGTTCAGTTTGTTAGCTGGTCTGTTAATTTGTTCACTGTTACAGTTAGGTAAATAAATTGTTACGTGTTGCTGATAGTATCAGATTCACTTCATTTAACCATCCCCTCCATAACATACAACAGATTGGGAGATGAAAGGCAGGTTATAACATTTTTCCTATTTCCTTTAGCAGATTACAAGGCAAAGCAAACTTCTCTGGGTGTTTTGGTTTTAATTATCAGTGGGGTTTGACCACCTCCTCCTCCATAACACTCCATACCGTGACCACCTGAAGAAGAGGATTCTCTCCTGAGCCATCCCAGGCACAGGAGATGGGCTACAGTCCGGTGCATGTTGCTATGTCCAAATCAGAGCTGGAGGAACTGGACTTGGAGCAAAAAAAATCCCAGGAGAAAAAGGCCTACATCCCAGACTGGGGTGATGTTGGTGCTGGGGGGGATGGGCTGAGTAGGTTGGTGTGGGTGTAGTGAGTATGGGAGCCCTGTTTGGGGCTGTTAACCTGGGCCAATCTGGGGGCTGTGGCGGACAGATATAAACAGGAGATTCAGTCTCCTCTCTGTAGGGACTGGCTCTGAGCTGACTGGTCAATCCATGTACTGTGCACGTCAATAAACTGACTTTGTGATAGGATACTAGGCTCTGGCTGTTTTTCAAGCTCCCTCTACACTATCCCCAACAAACACTTCCATAGAGGGACAGTATGGAGTTAGATCTGGAGTAAAGTTTACTCCACACTGTAACTAACAAAAATAGAATTGGAGAAACTCAGCAGATCTGGCAGCATCTGAGAGTTAATGTTTCAAGTTCAGTGACCCTTCTCCAGAACTGATGAGAACCAGCCGAATGTGGTATTTATGCTTATGACAGTGGGTGGGGAGGAAAAGTAGTCAGCAGATAGAAGACAAAACCTACAGAGAGGCAACGGGATTGTTGACAGTTAGCCAGGGAAGAGAAGCCAGATAGATGATGGGGGCTAGGAGCAGTTGAAATTGGGTTGTCTGTGGGTATGGATAATAGACATGGTGAGAGGTGTTTATGCTCTAAAATTGAATTCAATGTTGTGTCCTGAAGGCTGTAAGGTCCCCAAGTGGAAAATGAGATGTTGTTCCTCCAGCTTGCATTGAGCCTCGCTGGAGCATAGCAACCGGCCTGAGACAGATATATTGGGATGGAAACATGGTGTGTTGAAGTAGAGACAACTGGAGGCTTGATCATTTTTACAGACTGAACATAGGTATGACTTAGACCTGCTCACCGAGCTGGTGTGTTTGATTGCAAACATTCTGTCACCCTGCTAGGTAACATTCAGTGCCCCTCCAATGAAGTGTTGGTGTTCTGTCCTGCTTGTCATTTGGACCGCTTTGCGGAACACCTACGCTCAGTTCACACCAAACAACTGCACCTCCCAGTCGCGAACCATTTCAACTCCCCCCTCCCACTCCTTGGACAACAGGTCCATCGTGGGCCTCCTGCAGTGCCACAACAATGCCACCCAAAGGTTGCAGGAACAGCATCTCATTTCACTTGGGAACCCTGCAGCCCAATGGTATCAATGTGGACTTCACAAGCTTCAAAATCTCCCCTCCCCTGACTGCATCCCAAAACCAGCCCAACTTGTACCTGCCTCCCTCACCTGTCCTCCCACCTAAAGCCCCACCCCCATCTCCTACCTACTAACCTCATCCCGCCCCCTTGACCTATCCCCTCCCTAACTCCCCACCTACACTCACCTTTACTGGCTCCATCCCTGCATCCTTGACCTGTCTGTCTCTTCTCCACCTATCTTCTCCTTTATCCATCTTCTATCCGCCTCCCCCCCACCCCCCTATTTATTTCAGAATCCTGTTCCCCTCCCCCATTTCTGAAGAAGGGTCTAGACCTGAAATGTCAGCTTTCCTGCTCCTCTGATGCTGCTTGGCCTGCTGTGTTCATCCAGCTCTACACCTTGTCTCAGATTCTCCAGCATCGGCAATTCCTACTATCTGTCATTTATATGCCTTGGTTTGCTGGGGTGGTTGGCATTACTTCTGGTTATGTTTTTCAGTGGTTTGTAATCTGGTCCAGTTCAATGTGTTTGGAGTTCCAGTTGGCATGCCAGTCCTCCAGGAATTTCCTGGCATTTGTTTGTCTTGTGCTATTATGGATATGTTGTCCCAGTAAATTCATGTCCTTCTTTGTCCATGTGTATTAAGACCAGTAAGACTGGTCATGTCTCTGGGTGGCTAGTCAGTGTTAATGTAGCCTTATCGTCAGCTAACACAGACTGGGTAACTGCTTTGCAGAACCATCTACATTCTGTCCATAAAAATGACGTCAAGTTTCCAGTTCCTTGCTACTTCAACACACCCCAGTGTTCCCATTCCAATATTTTGGTGAGGCTTGCTGCAGTGCTCCAGCAAAACTCAACACAACCTAAAAGAACAACATTTCTGAAGAAGGGTCTAGGCCCGAAACGTCAGCCTTCCTGCCCCTCTGATGCTGCTTGGCCTGCTGTGTTCCTCCAGCTCTACACCGTGTTATCCCTAAAAGAACAACACCTCATTTTCTGCTTAAGGATCCTACACAGCCTTCAGGAGTCAACGCCAAGTTTAACAATTTTAAAGGAAGAGCACCTCCCACTATGTCGATAACCCATCCCCACACCCCAAGTCCTGTCATTATATGGGTTCCTTTCAACACAGCAAACCCACTCAGTGTCATTATCACCTATTTGTCTTGTCTTCTCTGGCTAGCTATTAACCCTTTTCCTACTTACCTTTCTTTCCCCCTTTTTTTCTCTCTGGGTTCTGTCTTTTACGTCACTCTACAATGTCCTCATCAGACACTTCAAGGTCATCCACAGCACAGTTAGATGCAGAGTGAAGTTCCCTCTACATTGTCCCCAACAAACACTTTCAGATACCCACAGTACAGGGCTAGGCACAGAGTAAAGTTTCCTTGACTTCAATGGCTACACTCTGCAGTACAGCTGAACCCTATCCTATACACTGATCCCGGCAACGCAGGCTATGTACTTACTTCTTCCACAGCATGGTTGGCAGTTGCCTCGTCCATACATTCAACCTAGTTTTAGAAGATGGGTAAAAATGGAACATAGTCAAAATTAAGCACATGAAGGACTGCGGGCAACATAAAATTACATTGAGTCATAGAATTACACAGCACAGAAACAGACCCTTCTGTCCAACTCATCCTCACTGGTCAGACATCTCAATCTGACTTAGTCCCATTTGTCAGCATTTGGCCCATATCCCTCTCAACCCTTCCAATTGATATACCCATCCAGTTTCCTTAAATGTTGTAATTGTACTCTCCTCCACCACTTCCTCTGGCAACTTGTTTGTATATGCACCACCTTCTGCATGAAAAAGTTACCCCTCAGGTTCTTTTTAAAACTTTTCCCCTCTCTCCTTAAACCTATGCCCTCTATTTTGGATCATCCCCCACCCCAACCCCTCATCTGAGAAAAGGATCTTGGCTATTCACCCTATTCATGCCCATCATGATTTTATAAACCACTATAAGGTCACCCCTCAGTCTGCTCCAGGGGAAAAAAGCCCCAGACTATTCAGCCTCTTCCTTTAATTCAATCCCCAGACCCAGCAATATCCTCTTAAATTTTTTCTGCACCCTCAAGTTTAACAAGATCTTTCCTATAGAAGGGCGACCAGAATTGCATGCAGTATTCTAAAAGTTGCCTCCCTGAAGTCCTGTACAGGACAGCAACATGACATTCTAACTCCTATACTCTGTTTTGACCAATGAAGGCAAGTAATGAAGATGAAGAGAAGGATGAGGGCAATGACACATTTCTGTTTGAACCCTGTTTTGACCTCAAAGATTTCCGTCATTGGCAATAAGGACCTTTGCTGACATCTCATCATTGAGGAGACAAAAGACATTAATAAATTTCTCTGGACAGCCAAGCTTTGAGGGTCTTCCATAGCACTTCCTGAGTGACTGATTGACCAAGGCTTTTCACTCGATGTAAAGCGGTCAGTGCTGTTCCTAGGATTTCTGTTGGAGTTGTTGAACAGTGGAAGTCATGTCCATAGTACTAGGATTTGGTTGGAAGACACACTAATTTTCCTGAAGGATTTCTTCAGAGACTGGGAGAAGATGGCTAACAAAGACTTGGGCAATTGTCATCCCAGCGACAGAGTAGGGAAATTAAAGTTTTTGAAGATTTGTAGCTCAGGTTGTGCATGAAGCTGTAGACTTGCTCACTGAACCCGTGTTTGGTTGCAGATGTTTCATCACCCAGCTAGGTAACATTGTCAGTGCGCCTCCAGTGAAGCGTTGGTGTTGTGTCCCTCTTGGTTATGTGCCTCTGTTTGCTGGGGTGGTTGACATTACTTCCGGTTTTGTTTTTCATTGGGTTGTATATCAGATTCAGACCTTACTTTTGACTCTCGGCTAATGAAGTGTGGACAAGAAGTACCTATCTCATCCCCTCATATTTCACTCACTTCAATTAAATCCAACCTCAGCTTTCTCTGTCTCAAAGTGAACAAATGCAGCATATTCAGTCTTTCACTATCTCAAATTCTCCATTCCACTGTAACATCCTCAAATCCCCTGTGCCACTTCCAGTGTCACCACATCCTTTCTGTGATGCAACAGCCAGAACTGTACAGTACTCTTGCTCAGGCCAGCCTAGTATCCATGTCAGGATTATACTCCTCACGATTTCTTTCTACCCTCTTCTTTTAAGCTCACTGACATATCTGTTTGCTTATGCCCAACTCATTTCATTTTGTTATATATTAACTGATACCTATGTCTGTCCTTGAATGGCTTTATCAGCATTAAAACAGGATGAGGGCAAGTCTGGCTGACAAGCAGGGGTCACATACATTATTGCTGCGATTGCCTGTTGGAAACAATTTGGTTGATTTTCCTTTTTTGTTTCTTTCTTGGGATTTGGCTGGCACTGATATGACCAAACTTTGTTGTCCATCTATTGAGTGCCACTGAACAGAGTGGCTCTCTAAGCCATTTCAGAGGGCAACTGGGAGTCAACTAGGTCCTGAACATAAGAACTAGGAGCAGGAGTAGGCCATCCGGCCCCTCAAGCCTGCCCTGCCATTCAATAAGATCATGGCTGATCTTTTGAAACTCAGCTCCAATTACCCACCCACACACCATATCCCTTAATTCCTTTACTATTCAAAAATTTATCTAGTCTTGCCTTAAACATATTCAACGAGGTAGCTTCAACTGCTTTACTGGGCAGGGAATTCCACAGATTCACAACCCTTTGGGTGAAGAAGTTCCTCCTCACCTCAGTCCTACATCTGCTTCCCTTTATTTTGAGGCTATGCCCCCTAGTCCTAGTTTCACCTGCCAGTGGAAACAACCTCCCTGCCTCCACCTGATCTATTCCCTTCATAATCTTATGTTTCTATAAGATCTCCCATCATTCTTCTGAATTTCAATGATTATAAGTCCCAGACTACTCAGTCTCTCCTCATAATCCAACCCTCTCAACTCTGGAATCAACCGAGTGAATCTCCTCTGCGCCGCCTCCGGTGCTAGTATATCCCTTCTCAAGTAAGGAGACCAAAACTGCAGACACTACTCCAGGTGTGGCCTCACAGGACCCTATACAGCTGCATGATGCGAGATTACTTCTTTGAGAGTATTCTTTGTACCAGAGAGCTGTGGACACTTGGGTGTTGAGTATATTCAAAATAGAGATCAATAGGTTTTTGGTCAGTGTGGAAATTTGGGGCTAGTGTCAAAACATAGATGGCATAAAAGGTCAATCATGATTTTTCTGGTTAGCAAAGCAGGTGTGGGGCTGAACAATTTACTCTTGTTCCTATTTCTAATGTCCGTGAATTTCATACATAATCATGGGACCTCAGGTTACATCACATCACTGTGCATCATGTCACCATGGATACCCATGTAAATTCCATGTCAAAGCCTGTATCATGTGAAGGATACCCATGTCACATCGTCATTGATACACACATCACATGTGCATAGACATGTATCACATCACCATGGACACATGTCATATCGGTCATAGATGTGTGTCACTTAACCATGGACAGCCATGTCACAGCACCATGGATACCTGCGTCCCTGTAGAAACCAGGCTTACCACTTTCATGGCAAATGTCTTCTCATCTTTCATACGCTTCACAATGTGCACGAGCCCATAGCAGCCTCTCGACTCTGTTTTCTGAATCTGGGTGGGGATGGAGCAGAGAGTGTTTCTGCACAATAACTAAAAGTCAGAACTTTTGCTGAAAAGAGTATCATTAATGGGACTGAGGGAGGGGACGGTAACGGGACTCGGGGCTAGGGGCTAGGGGCTAGGGGCTAGGGGCGGCCGGGTTTACCTCATACTCCTCCATGGTGGCAGCGAACAACGGCCTTCCCGCCCGTTACCGGGACAACCCGGCCCGCGCACTACATCATGGGGCGAAGGGCAGCCCAAGAACACAGGCCATTGGCGTCACTAACTCCGAGGGAAAAAAAAAACACCATTTCACACACTTCCGTTGGATATTTATTTTGTAATTGTCAGGCTTCATTGTTCTTTTCGAATTTGTACACAATTAGACAATTAGAAAACGCGGGTCCCCAGAGGAACATACTGGGCGTGCGCAGCGAAGAAAGCCTCAGCAGTCACGTGCCCCCGTCCATCTTTTTATCCCCCAATGTCCCCCAGAGACACGGTGAGGGACACTCCCCCCCCCACCACCACCCCAATGTCCCCCAGAGACACTGTGAGGGTCAATTCACCC